TTCTCATTCCTAAAATCCTCCTATATTTGGATAAATTACTTTGGATAGACTGTGAAATCTTCGCCACAAGATCTTCTGTCTTGCCTGGAATGCCACTGCCAGATATCTTCTGTTGTTCTGAATTAAGATGACTTATTATGATTAAATGCTACTAAAGAATCCAGAGGGGACAAGAAATCTAAAAGGAATCTAATTAATCACTTGGATAAAAATTATCAAAACCACAACTCTGCTGCTCCCCTTTGTGAAATCATAAGGCAACCAGAAAACTATCTATATTTTAACATCTCCATTTTCACTCATCTGCCGTTCCAAACATACTGCATTTACCCAAGGAAGAGTTCTAGTGATTTGGTGACATCTGACCTAAAGTCTGTATACAGAAATATTAACTGTCATCTTTTCAGCAGAATCTACCCAGACTTTGTGGATTGGTTGGGCTTCTCTTAGGTTTAGCTAATGATTATAAATGGCAAAGAATAGCCAATTTAATTGCAAAAGGTAATGACGCAGCAAGCATAAGATTAGTTTCACCCCAGAAGGCAATATCCTCAAAACAATAATAACAGGAGTGATCAAAAAGAAAGGAGAAGCTTGTCTTAAAGCAAATACAGGCAAATATTCCTGTATTGCATACATTAATCAAGAAACAAGTTAGCAAAAAACACTGAAAGTGGAAAAAACCCCAAACAAACCCACAGAATTGTATAGTAAGTTATGGTTAGTAAATGCTTCCTACAACAGGTTCACCAGATAATTCAGAGAATGAACAGACCAGTAATTTTATTACAAAGAAGCTCTGAAAATATCCTAAAATTCTTCTGGCTATTTCTAATTAAACAATGAGACGTGAAACTCCCAGGCAGATAGCGGAGATGCACCGAATAAAAGACTCCAAAGTTTTGATCAGCATAGGCAAGCAGAAATTTTGACCCATGCAAAATTTTAAAGACACATAAATTTTCAGTTTTTCACCAATACTACACTTGAGCTTTAGATGAACTTTTTCACAAACATGTAAAGTCCATAAAGAGTAGCATTGAGTTACCTCTTGCCATTAAAATTAATGTTGCCTATAATGCATACCTATTGAAAAAGGAAGCAATTGAAATGTGTTATTAAAACAGGAAGACCGGATCCATCATGTTTTTGACAAAATGGGAAAAAATTAAAATACACTGACGTTTTTATTATCTTAATCCTAGGCTATTGATTTATTCAGTTAAAATAACCTATAAACACACAGGTACATGGTTATTTCACTTATAACTCTATAGCAATGGGAATATTTTGTAAAGACTTTTCCCCCCTCAACAGTCCCTACAGAATATAGAAATTTACTAGCTACTTACTGCTTTGTAACCATGTGCTAGAACCAAACACCATGTTAGGTGATAAGACATCAGATGGCTAAGACATGCCAAAAAATGGACAACCTTTTATCCTAATGAACAATAACCACAACGTTTCTTATAATTTAAATAATCTCCCTGTGTATCTGCATACAAAGCAAGCGTGGACTTCCTGGCAAGAATTTTCTACATAGTACCAATTGATGCCTCGTATCATCAACTAAAATTTCCAAAGGAACTGTGAACAATTTCCATGGTCTGTCTTCAGAAAATCTTTCTCGGTTGTTTTTTGGTTTTTTGTTTGCTTGTTTGTTTGGTTTTTTTTCAATACATGCCCTATTTTAATGCTGGTGAGAGTTGACTTTATTTTGCTGTAGTCTGTTCTATACCTGTTTTCAAAGCCAAAAAACGTTCTTTATATTAATATCCCAGAAAAGCATGTTTTGCACTCCAACTAAAAAGCATTAAAATACAATAATGTGTTTTTCAGGCTTACGACATATTTTGCATTCAACAATCCCTTATAAACAGGATATACACAGAAATAAATAACTATTTCACAAACAGCTTATTGGCCTACAAACACGCCTTGTACATGGTGATAACCAAATGGAAAATACATTTATTGCTTACCCCTCCCAATGCTATCTATCTTCTAACCAATCTGTTCTCACAGATTTCTCTCTCACATTCTGAATATTATAACAGCAAAGTATGGGGTAGAGTGTTAATTTTTTTGCTTGGTTTTGCATGTTTTTCTAAACAGAAAGCCACCTCAGTAATGAAACTTCTTATTTTCCTCATTGTTTCCTGTAACTGTCAGTCCTACATAATTTTTTACCAATAAGATTGCTACAGAATAACGGTTACTGTTTTTCAGCCTTCTACGGATTCTAACAGGGAGTTAATCTCTTAGGAAGGAGGTAATATTCAAAGATTTCAGAAATACACAGCAGTTCATTCCAGGCCTGAAAAAGTCTGTTATACTGGACCTTAGGTTGTCATCGTTTTAATTACTAGAAAGTCTAAGGTAGGCATTTTAAAGAGATGCCCATGCTTTCCTCAGAGTCTTGCTCAGCTGAACTCTGGTAAACTCAGAAACCCACACAGATATGTCAGACAAATTTGTTGCAGACAAAAATTCAACAGAAATGCAACAATACCAATCATCTTAGAAGAGATCCACCTGGCTTAAGATTTAGATGCCTGGAGATATGTTTTCTGAGAGTCAAGTTTCCATAGACTTTCACTATTAAACTTCACTTAAAAAGTGGTCACTGACTCAGTGATGAAGCAAATATCATCTAAGAGTAACTCAAAATTGCTAGAGCAGAAGACCGGTAACGGCAAACAGTTATTTCCAGGTAAAATTTTAATCACAACCAATAGTAACTTACAGTGCACTCCCATGAGATACTAGATTATTTTAGACAGAAATACAGAAAATCAGTCAAATTCTATATCAGGTCTCCTGAGAGCCTGACTGTGAAGTCTAAATGACACTCCTAACTTCTGCAAACAAAGGTTTCTAACAGACCTTTCAAAATGCTCCTATCTGAAGATGTCAGTCAAGCATTGATGTATCTACTTTCATAGTCTTTGCTTCATTAGATGAAGCAAGTTTTTCGATGCAGAATTTCACTTTTGTTTTTTCTTGTTTCCTTTTGTCAAAGACAAGCATATAACAAATGTTACAGATTAAATCCTCTTAAGTTCCTTTATCACTTACTTTGCCTTTTGGAGTCCTTATTTTGCCATCAATATTTGATGCAGTACAGGCATAAATTAAAAGTAACAAACTAAAAGATATTCTAGGTAAGGAACACTAATTGAAATACTGAAGGGATCAGCAAGCTGAATATTGCTTTAAGGACAGAAATACGGACTTCCAAAATTATGCTGAAATTACATAGTTTGGTGAAGAGTCTAGTCCCCTCCAAAATTATGCAGATCCCAATTCCAGCAATGGAAAGAAAAGAGTGGAAATCATAGTTACATTCATAAATATTTGTGTGACGGAATGAGGAGGTTAGTTTTGAGGAAAGGAATAGTAAAGGGAACACACAACATGCCATATTTTAGCAAACAAATCCCAAGTGAAATAAAATGAGGGAAAAAAGAATTTGACATTCTTTACAGGATTCCCACACACAGCTATAGCAGGACTGGTAAACACATTAGACAACATCCCAAAGGAAATCATATTTCAGAGAGATTAGGAAAAAATTTGAAACTTTGGTTGGGACAGTGAAAACACTATTTAACATTTAAAAGAACTTCAGTAAGAGAGGACAGAGCTGCCCAAAGACAGAAAGGGAAAATGTTAAGTAGTCTCACAGTCCCAGCACTTCAAAGAGACATGAAGAGCTATAGCACGGAAGCAGCACCACCCCCAAAAATAGTTTTTCACCAGGCTTAAAGAAGGCATTCCAAAAAAGTCTATGCGTTACGTAGGCATTAGAAAAGAAATACTGACTAATGCAGGAGTAATGCAAATCCAGTGGATACAATGCTACAGACAAGCTCCTGGAGGCTGGCCTTCAGAAACTCTCAACATCAATTTGATAAAAACAAACCCTATTTTGAAGAAGCATTGGAAGGTAACCTAACACTGACTGAAGTTCCAGGTTGAAAAAGTTTCCTCATCTAGTGAAGGAACCCGAAGGACTGTATTATGAACATAAAAGATTAAACTATATTTTATTACACTGATAGTGTGCAAAATTAGCAAAATAATAATAACTCAAGACTTCATCTATTTGCACCCAGTCAGATGATACAACAGGGAAGAGTTTATGGACACAACGTCTTGACTCTTTAAGCAACTGCCAGTTGAAAAGTCTGATTCGGCAGCATCCAAGAAAAGAAACTAATCTTGAACTAGTCAAACTGAAGAGTTAATTCAAGAAGTGGCAACAGATCAACTGAATAATAATATCCTTGACATAATCATTTTCCATTTTTAAGAACAGACACTGACCTAAATTACTCTATCCAGAAACATTCAAAGTTTTCTATATACAATCTATGTCATTATAAATAAACTTTTCTGTTTATAAGAGGTGGCATAATCAGACAGAAATCTATGCCAATGACACCTTTTTATATATGTTCCTGAATAAGAAGGTTTTAACGAGTGAAATAATTTGAATAGACAGTATAGTACTAAATTAAATTAATACTAAGAACTCAAAGCAGTGCATAGTAAATAGAGAAAGGTATATTATGCTTATACATACAACAAGGTTGTAAATTAGAGGGCTGCATTGTATTAACTAACATGAGTTAATACACTATTATCTGAATTCAATAACCTTTAGCTTTACCAATCACCATTTTTTCCCTCGTACACATTTATCAAATTAGCATTGCTTTATTTTAGATTATTCACTGTAAAATCAGTAGGAAAGTAAAGAGAAGTCTAGAAAAAGGAAAATATTTAGCCCCTAACAACAGATACAAAATACTACTCTTAAACACTCTTATTCAAGGTAACGGAGAGAGTACTCATTTCCCACACTCACATTAAGGCAACAAGATATTTCAGAAGGTGTAGTTAAAAGATTAGCAAATTCTAGGCTAGTGAATGCTGTTGTTTGTACTATGTTCAAGTATATCACAATTTGTTAAAAAAAAAAAAATTCTTACCACAGCTTTGGCTGAACTTTCCTGCAAATCCCACAATAATATGTTATTATCAGCCAGCGAAATAATCTTTTTACCATCTCCCATTGGTTCCCACATAACACTGTAAAACAGAAACAGAGAAAGAAAAAAAACAACCTAACATTAAAACCAATCAGAATTTGCACTAGAAAACCATTTTAACTCTGTGGATCTAAATCTATTCCAAGCCATTTTAAACCATATTCCCTATGGTTTCCTTCAGCTGAACTCCATCCCTTATTTTAAGGGCAAAATCTGCCATTAACTAGCAATACAGCAATATTTTTTTATTTTTTTTTTTTTTTACACATACTAGATGAATATTATTGCAGCATTAGTTACTTAAAAGGTATGCAATAGCAAACTTCAGCTTTAGTTGGTACTAATGTACACATCCTTTTCTTTTTCTTTTGATTGCCCTTGACATCCCATCCAAATCTGTCAGAAAAAGGAACGCCACCCAGCTTCGCTAGATACTAGCCTAACTGTAAGAAAACAGCTTCTCGAAATCCTTACCCCATTTGTCCATTCTAGATATTGAATCATACAGTGATCATGCAAAACAGTGATCGTGTCATTCTAGCATTCTGCGTACATACACAGAAAAAGACCTTGACGTACTCGCTTTTGAGTGCTTTAGCTTGAAACCTCAGTTCTTCATATGTAATGTTGTGCAACCTTTTTGAAGACGCACCAAAAATCATAAGCCTCAGAGCTTTGATGCAAACCTCTTCCAGTTCAACAGCTGTCATCTTAACTCAATCAACATATACTTTTACCTGTGATTCACCAGTTTTGTGCTATATATGAAGGAATGCAAGAAATCAGTCTTCATCTCTAGTTCTGCCTATGAGAAGCAGTATATTCAAGCCAGTCAGTAGGAGCAGCACAGCTAAGTATATGCGCTATAACCCTAACAAATTTGCTGGAGATAAGATTAAGGTTAAAGGAATAATACTTGTCATGTGATGATAACAGGCTTCCATACCCAATGCTTTTGAAAGAAAGTTGTGCAACCTCCCAATCATCTTACAGTGACACAGTACAGCTGAAGGCAGAGACCACAACCTTAGTATCAATAGCTACATGAAGAAACTTCTTTCCATCTCTAGAAAAAAAGACTTAAGTTATTCAAAGGCATTTGATATGCTTTTCTCATCCTCAGTGCATATATGAAGTACCACCTCTTGAGGTTTGTCAAGAGTCCATCACTAAACATAAGTTTTCTAGTCTGTTTAGCTGTCTGCATGAATCAGTTCAGAATCTGGACTGAAGAGATGAAAGACAGTTGCACGAGTAGATGCAGCCTTGGGTATGTAAGCCCAACATTAGGCAGCCACCACATACCTTCCTAGCTCGGAGCTGCACGCTATGCATGCCCCTATGTTACCTCCAATTTTGCATTACTCTTACCTTCCCAAGACAGTGGTTATGACCCAGCCAGCCCCAGATCTAAGCCATGGAACTCCATCTAATTTTATGGTATAACACACAAGGAAAAGAAAATAGGAAGTTGGAGGTAACTGTCATTTTTTCACACCGTAAGTGAAGCATAACCTCAGTTATTCTCAGGTGATATCTTCCTCTCAAAATCCTTTTGCTTCTTCCATCAGCAGTTTCATTGCTTTTTACTCTGCACTTTTAGTAAAACAAGCACTAGATACACAGGCAGATGACTACACCTGTTTGCTGTTATAGGGAAGCTGGACTATGAAGATAAAGTAGAACTATGCCAAAAAAGAAAATCAACACCAAGTAGATGAAAAAGCTAGAGCTATAACTAAATGGGTGCATTGGCTGACTCCTCACCCATTGAACTTTTCCCTAAGGCAACAGAGCAGATCAACGAAAGGACTAGCTTCTGCATCTATTTTCTGCTAGAACCATGACCTGCATCCTTATTATGTTGTCAATCCATGGAAATTAACTACTTATAAAAGTTCATTTGTAATGAGGTCTCTTGTATTAGGACAAAATCACTTCATTTAGCACATTAAGCTACCATCATGTTGTTAAATGTGCTTTAACAAGGACATGGAACTAGAATGATACTATGATTTGCTTTAAATTAGGCTGTTTTGTCTGTGATATTGCCAATCTTATTTTCAATAGTGTTTCTTGTTAAAGTTGTATGGTACAACTTGTAAAAACTTATAAACAACTGAAAATGAGTGCTGATAATAAAAATGATGAAGCAGTTTCAATTACATGTTCAACGATCATTTTGCCCATAATAATGAGTAGTACCCAACTAGCACTGGCACAGGTATTTCAGAATTTCATACAGTTCTGCTGCACAGATATATCAATTAAATCCTTCAAAGAGATGAAAACATTTTATGAACACATAGAACAGGATAAAAAAATTAATGCACCATAACCTGCATGTGATCACAGCTAACCTTCCACAACCCAGCTTTCTAAAGTGAAATTAGAAGACATCAGGATCATCACACCACTGAATAAGTAACTAAGACATTTTCAAGCTGATTCTGATCACATTTATTTAAAGTCCATCATTCTTACATATTGCTGAAAGTATAACTGGCATTTGGTGTTCATATACGTTGACATATTTTTAATTATAGACTATGAAATCTAGTTTGACCAATTAACTCTTTAAGAGTTCTTCCAGCCAGAGATCAATATTTTTATGCTTGTTGACGTATTTGCACCTTTCCTGCACTGATCATTGAACTTTCAGTGGTAAAAGCTAGATTAGAAGCACTTTCTTTGATGTTTTCAAAGGTAGGAAGGAATTTCACATCTTTGAGAAGCACCGAGCTTCAAGGTAAAAACTTGTATAGCCAAATACCATGTGCTAATTAGAGCCAATTATAACCCAGGTGACATGCTTTAGAATGAAAAAGTCTCTCCACATTCACTCTGTCCTTGTGAGATGCCGATTTTGCTTCTATTTAATTTGTCTTTTATGAAAGTTCATTGGTTTATGGGTGTGGTAGCAGTGATCATTCATTTTACAATCTAAGCTTACACTACTCAAATCACTCTTTGTAACATGTTCAGCTGTATGCTGTAGTCATGACTGAACATGTCATGGTTTCAGCTGGATTGCTAGCAGCTGGGATAATGCCATGTCTTGGATTTGGGATGAGAAATAGCATTGATAGCACACTGGTGTTTTGGGTTGTTGCTAAGCTCTTTCTGCTCCTCACACCGCCCCAGCAGCGAGCAGGCTGAGAGGGCACAAGAAGCTGGGAGGAGACACAGCCAGGAGAGCTGACCTCAACTGACCAAAGGGCTATTCCATACCATGCGATGCCATGCTCAGTATAGAAAACTGGGGGAAGAAAAAGGAAGGGGGAAACTTTCAGAGTGCTGGCATTTGTCTTCCCAAGTAACCATCATACGTGATGGAGCCCTGCTTTCCTGGAGATGGCTGAACACCTGCCTGCCCATGGGAAGCAGTGAATTAATTCCTTGTTTTGCTTTGCTTACATGCACGGCTTTTGCTCTGCCTATTAAACCGTCCTGATCTCAATCCAGGAGTTTTTTTCCCCTCACTTTTACTCTTCTAATTCTCTCCTCCATCGCAACTGCAGGAAGTGAGTGGCTGCGTAGTCCTAGCTGCTGGCTGGGGTTAAACCACGACTGAATGTTAAACATGAAATACCATGGAGGAAAAAAAAAAAATAATAAAATACTGGTGACTGAAAAAATCTGGCTTTTGAAGCAGGATACAAATTTTAGAAAAACCGAAGTTTTCATTTAGAACAATTTTCAGACACAGCAGAGGTAGTGATAATCTTTAAAAACGAAAACAGATAAACCAGGCAATACCATTTTCCCAAGTGTGCCAACAGTTGCTGATGCTTACAGTTTTCAGAAATGGACAAGATAATTGTCAAATTCACAGCTGCCACTCAGAAACTGAGTGTCAACTTCACCGCTGCTCTTTAGATAATCTATAAACAGCAGACAAGCAATTATATTTGTTGCCTTTTACCCTATTTTGTTATCATCCGACTCCTGATGCTTCAAATTAGCTTCTAGCTAGTAGTTTCTGGTAAAAAAATTAAATCCTACAGAGAACATTTCCTAGTAAAGAAAAAAGAGAATTTAAAATATTCACTCAAATGCACACATGAAAGGACTCTATTATCTCTGTTTTATGCTGAAAAGATAGTTAACACCATCATTTATTAACGTACTGAGCTTTTACAAATGAACAATTCAAAGTTCTCCATTATAGACTAAAGAAGAATAAAGCAACATACAAATGCTTTCATAGATGTGAACTGCAGTCCAGCCACAACGCAAGCATTAACTACTGCTTAACCATAATTACAGAAGTGACAACCATTTATTTCTGTAAGTGGAAAAATTTTGCTAGACTGAAAATTCTTGTGCACTGCAAAATGGAAAGTATACCCAAACATTTGGTAACTCAGTAGCACATCCTGCAGCCTTGATGTAGCCCATCTGAAAAACTGATGTGTTATGGACACATATATCCTGCCTTCTTTGCAGTACAATGATTCAAATTTAAAGGCCACTAAGATGATCAGGCAATTAGGACATTATTCTAAGAGGTAGGAGATCAGACTGAGGACAACCTGGAACCCACAATTCTTACTCCTTATCCAAGTGCTCTACAGAGTGGCCACATTTCTGAACAGACACAGTTCTGGCTATTTTGTAGTGTATTGAAGTCCCTGCTGCAGGAAGCACATATAATTTATGTTTTGTCTCAAAATTCTCAGCCACGGAGATACATTTTGGTGTCCAACTCCTCAAGACACAGTAAAATAAGAACCATAGCTTCCTAAAAAACCTGAAAAATAAGGTGAATTTATTTTAAGCACCTTTTTAGCTAAGAAGCTAATAAGAAGAATGAGAAATGAAGTTAAAGATTATTTTGGACAGGAAGCCTAAAGACAGCTGGATTTTATTCTGGCTCAAATTATTTTTACATTCAGAAAAATAAAACTACTGTACAAACAAATACAAGAGTATCCCAACAAGGAGATGATGCATAAAAAGCACTTGCCTCTAAAATTATTTTTTTTTTCCTTAAATTATCATACTACAGTGTTGGCAATCCCATAAAGTCTTCTTGAA